CAGCCTTCTGAAACTAACGAAGGCTGGGCATGCAGTCATTTTGTTTAAAATTCAAACAAGTTCATTATTCTTTCAAAAACAGTAAAAGACAATGGTGAATAACTTTTGGTTTTGTAATTATATTTTACAACATAACGTCATTGCAACAAGAACACATATTTAGTAGTAATAGGCTAAAAAAACTTAGCGTATACTCGAGCGTATAAATGGAAATGTAGAGTGGTCCAATAATTACGAAATATAATGACAGCGATCACGGTAAGCGTTTAGCTTTCGCTGTCCGCCATTTTTGAACGTGGCAAAGAACCTTTACGAGCAAATTACACCAAGTACTTCATATATTTTTTGTGGATTTGCGGATTTTTTAAGGATTTTGAAGGATTTCTGTGGATTTTTGAAGGATTTCTGTGGATTTTTGAAGGATTTTTTGGATTTTGATGGATTTAACGGATTTTGAGGATTTCATGGATTTTTTCTGGATTTTTTCCGGATTTTTTGACGAAGTGTACGGGATTTTTGGAGTGAATTGCCCCTCGGTGCGTTCTACATATATTTTATCTACATTTGGATATAAGGTGTTGAGCATGCGATGAACGCACATCCCTGGTTTTCCATTGCACAACATTCCTTTGCATTTTGTGATATCGTACATCCACTGACAGCGCAGCTGCTTGGGTAGTTGAACATCTAGAAAAGAGAAATTACCAAAATAGATTTTAATTAAAGGTTTCGGTCCAAGTGCCGTGAAGCAGCCGACTTTTCCACTGGAATTCTCGGGTTTCAATCACGTGATGTTTTAGCATAATTTTGCCCAGGTGGGGGTCAACCATTGAGCTGGGACTAACCGAACAATTAGAAACAAAATGGCTATCGACGCATCTAATGTAAATTAGTTTCCGGCCCCGTCATCTCAGACTATTATAAAATCCAATATAAAACAATATAAAAATATAAAAGCCGTCCTTTATCCTTGACATAATAGATTGGCAATGAACTAGGGAAGATTCCGTAGATCAGGATCATCAGTATACGAAACAGTTTGGCCACAAATTTTCTGCGGAAGTCTGTTTGGTATTTCGAATTTGTTTTCGCTGTAAAGTTGACATATTGTCAAGTTCGCCATGGCATTTTCAAACCCGTTTATAAAAAAAATCATTATAAATGTGAATTGGCTTAAACAACGAAGTTGCCAACTGCGAAATTCGTAGTCACCACTAGACGTAAAAAAATTCATGATCATCAGTGACCAAAGTTTCTTACAATGCCCACAATATTTCGTGATGATCTCAATCGACTGGCAAGATTGTATGTACTGTACCTTAGGACAGTAAGGTGATCCAATGTTAAGAGTTGATGTCATAGGGTATGGTGACGGCATGCTGTTGGCGTCAAACGTCATTGCTGGATATTCCGCACTTGAAAATATTGCATTATTCAAAGACAGAGATACCCCATTTCTCGCCAAGTAAGCTGAAGAAAAGTGAAGAATCGTGAATAAATAACGCTACTGATTAACAAGCGAGTTGAAACATTAACATCATGAAAGTTGAAAAGGTGAATTTGAAAGTCAATCGGTTAGCCTGCCTCCCTCGAACAAATGGTTACGACTCAGGCTATCAATCGGTTGGTCATTTGGTCTGTCAATCAGTCCGGGATTAAGAACTTGTATAAAGCCTTGTAACAAAACTGACTACATTGCAGTTTAATTGGCATCACAGTTCGTCCATGAATGCCTATTATTTTGTGTTGGCCCGATAGGAAATGGTGGATAGGGGTCAAGAAATCTAAACGGCAACGGGCAGTATTCAGTCTTGCAAGTGGTCGCATGGATTTTAGTTCATTGAGAATAATAAATTGAAAGAGACGCTGAATTGTCTTTGTTCCAAACCGACTTACTGTCTTCCGGACTTTCTTTTTTCATATGTCTTCCTAATTCATTCTGAAGTTAAGGAAAAAAGGATATCATTTTGAGCAGTTGCATGTAGTGGACTGGAAAACAGGCTAAGTTTCATGCCATTCAAGTTATTCAAATATTTACAAATAATAAATAAGTGTACTGTCCGTTGAAGGTAATTTATTAATTACTACCTTTTACTACCATGCTACTACCACTTCGTTCCCAGGGCTTCACGGCTTCCTGAAGTCAGTCGTGATGCCCTGGTAACAAGAATGCTAACGAGAACTTACCGATCTGCGAATTGCAGGTCCGATTCTCAATCTCTTTTCTCTAAAGAACACCGTTCCCTAAACAGATTACTAGTCAAAATTTAGCGTTATTTTTGCAGAATTTGCTCACATGAGGCAGCCTATAGTATCAGGCTTTCGTCATTTCGTACTCGACTGCCTGGTCGTTTCGTACCCTAACTCTGGTCGTTTGTTACTCAACTCTGGTTGACTAATTGTACTAACGCCTCAACTGTGGGTGAAGGTTTTTTTTCTATTGTTTTACTTACGATAAATTCAAACGAATAAATACGTGGTAACGTGCAAGTCAAAACTATTTTACAGAAAATGTCGCACTAGTAATTGGCGCTGGATATGTCGATACCTATGGTCGATACGCAACGACCAAATCTCAATACGGAACGACCACGCCCGAGTGCGAAATGACCAAGCCTGAGTACGAAACGACCAAGCCTGAGTACGAATGAATTAAACGACCAAGCCTGAGTACGAAACGACCAAACCTGGGTACGAAACGACCAAACCTGAGTACGAAACGACCAAACCTGAGTACGAATGAATTAAACGACCAAGCCTGAGTACGAAACGACCAAACCTGGGTACGAAACGACCAAACCTGAGTACGAAACGACCAAACCTGAGTACGAAACGACCAAACCTGAGTACGAAACGACCAAACCTGGGTACGAAACGACCAAACCTGAGTACGAAACGACCAAACCTGGGTACGAAACGACCAAACCTGAGTACGAAACGACCAAACCTGAGTACGAAACGACCAAACCTGAGTACGAATGAATTAAACGACCAAGCCTGAGTACGAAACGACCAAACCTGGGTACGAAACGACCAAACCTGAGTACGAAACGACCAAACCTGAGTACGAAGGAAACGACCAAGCCTATGTAGGCCTAGTCCAACACATAAATTCTGCAAAAAGGCAATTACCATTCGTAAAACTTTCTGAGCATCGCTTTTTCGTTCAAATGAAATGAAACCATACCTTTAAAATAAAAGTTTATTAATAACACCAAACCTAAAACCTTATCCTAACACACTAGACCTAATCTTTAAAAGCCATGGACAAAAATAGGTAAGCTCGAGGTACTTGTAAACCATGCCGTCTTGTGAGCTCGTGAAACTCAGTTGTAAATCATGCACAGTAAACTTCTCCATATATAGACAAGCTGCATATATAAGGTCAAGGAGTTCGCAGAGTTGATTACAAAGCTGACTGTACAGACGTTTGGGTCCGCCCACCCACGCCAAAAAGAAGAAATAAACAATCAGTGTTCTTTTGCATACCCTTTTGACACCCCCTCGTTGTCTTTGATTATTTTAGAACCCGTGACAAAACCAAACGAAGAAAAAAATTGCTTTAGTTCATCAGATGTACACTATACAAAGATCAAATATACCTGTGTTACTGGGACTGCCACGGTTATAACTTATACTGGAAACATAACGCTCAACCTAACCTGTGTGACACAAGTCGTGACTGTCAAGACAATTTCATTGCACCTTGCAGTGCAATTTTGCATGCATGCAACGAAAAAAATATTGCACGTTGCAGTAAGATAACCCACAACCGGTTACATTTTCATGTCACGCAGTCGATTGGTTAGGAGGTTAGGGATTGGATTAGGTTTCGTGATTGCGTGACATGAAAAGATAACCCAAATACAACTTGTTTTGCGGATCTGCAATATGCCATTTCCGAATTACGGTCGAATATACCTACAGACAACAGCGTGAGAACGAGGCTTCGTGCGAAATTGTAATATTTCTATAGCAAATTAACACTGAGGCCTGAGCCTCGGCTTGATGTTATTGTTAGAGCGTAATTCGGAAATGGTCTATTACTAGGACGAATTGATAAATTTTCAGCTCAAACTCGCAAACTACAATCTTTTCATCGCGACATCATTTGGAAACCACAGGATTAGGGTATTTTTTAACTACGGTATATAACTGGGGTACTGAGGCATTTATCCCAGTAGCGAAGCAAAATATTCAGACGAGACAAGCTATTTTTATCATCAATAAAAAAGGTTAATCTCATTGAAAAAGCTGTATCTGTCCGCTTTCTCATATATTATTTCACATTCGATCATCGACATCCCATCTTACAAGAATGACTACGGAATGGCTTAAATTATATGGGGAAAGGCCCTAGCTTGTTAAGACCAAAAGCCCGATTAATTTTTACTAATTGGCCATTGACTGTTGGCAAAAGAAAAGGACGATCACCAACTATCTATTTTTATGTGACTTATAATTAATATCGCAGCTGGAATTGAGTCATACTCATTAATAAACCATGCAGCCAACAAAATTACGGCTGCCAACGTTCTCAGAATGTGAGCCGACGTTCAGATTTTAACGTTGGGAGACTAATGGTTGTAGACTTTCGCAATGTCCTTTTCAAAGACGTGTACATGTTATTTTGTGAACTACCAGGAAGGGCGAAGCAACGTCGTTGGTGATCACCGTTATAGAACATTAAGGTAAAAGGAACTTAAAGTCCCAAGAACGTTGATATGGAATGTTTTAGGTTACACCTCTGGGTCACATCTACCCTGGGTGCAGAGGTTTTCTGGGTGCAGAGGTTTTCTGGTTTTCTGGTATTATTTATTTTTTATATTGTTTGACCTACAGGCTATAATCGGTATTGGCCCGATTTTTGCCTTATCGGTAGCCAATAGCCAACTGGAGCTTTGTCTGAATTCCTTTGTGCAAATACTTCTTCAGCTTGATCATGATGATCATCCCACCGGATCATTCACAGTGTACTATTCTCAAAATTTATTTAAAAAAGAGTGACAGACCAATATTGTTTTTGTGTCAAATATGTTACTGTAATTACTGTACATCTTTTCAAAAGGCTACCATATATATTTTTAAAGCGGGTTATAGAGCAGGTAGAAAAAGCTGTGTTAAGTTTGAACTTTGAAAATTACAAAAATTATAATAGATTAATGCGCTCAACTACGGTAGTCCAAACCTCAACATTAGGTTTGGACCGATTCAAAAAGCGTGAGAGGTGTATGGGAGTTAAAGAGGCCGCGGAAGCATTTCGAAAGTGGAGCCTGGGCATTGCATGGCCAAAAAGGGGCACTTTTGTATAAGACCAAAATCAAACGATTTTATGTAATTGTTCACAAACGGAACAAAATTTTTTGAAACTATATGGAGTCTCTATAACGTCGGAAATGGCCTTTACAGTCTTTACTACTGCAAAAAGGGCACTTTCTTTCCAGCAAAAGAGGGCGTTCATTCATTCAAGAAATACTTTTTTCGCCCAGAGAAAAGGGCACTTTTCTCACTTTTACAGAAAGTGTGCGGCACATGCCCCCATTGTCCTTTGGTTCCCTGATGGGAGTGCTGATGCGTTCGTGCTATTTATAAAGATTACTGGTCATCCACAAGCGGCCCAATCTCTGAATGTCCTATACATTTTGAATATTTAACCGTTATAATATTTAATAACGAAATAATTCAAAAAATATTAGCGGTATATGTAAAAAATATATCTAACTTGTTAATAGGATGCATTTATTGTGTTTCTGAGTTTATAGTTGATACGATTGCTTTACGTTTTCGTCGTACTTGAACGGTCGTCAACACCAGTGGCACTGAACGACATGGCCATATAGGATATGAATAACTATAACGGGACCGGCTAAACGGAGAGTTATGAAGTGGAGAGTTTTCTCGGAGAGTTATCATTTCGGAGAGTTATGTTCGAACCACGCCCAAACCACGCCCACTTTTCCCAACGACCACACCCAATTTTTTAACTCTCTCGACGTTTCCTTGAACTAACATGAGAGAGTTATGTTTGACGTAACTCTCTCTCTCGTTAACATTATGAAGATGTTAGAGAGTTATCATTTTTTATAACTCTCCGCATTCATGATTGTGGCAATGAAGAGAGTTATGGCAGTTTTTTGAAAAACACTTCCACTTCCTTTTTTCTCACGTGTCAGTTTTAACATTTCAAGCTAGTAGAAACTGATAGTACTTTAGTACTTACCAAGTTCATCTATACATAAATGTTTATATACATGCTCACTTGGATTATCTAGTAAGACCAGCATTCAGATACAGCTCTCGTATTATATAGCACCAGAAAACCTTTCCATTGTAATGCCCTATTGGCTGATCTCGGAAAGTATTTCCAAAACTTCCTGCAACTATGCTTACCGTATGCATGCTTTTGGGGGCACTTTGACCCTATCTGATGCAAGCATCGATCTAGCTCTTTGTTTTGACCGAGTCAAGTTGTATTTCCTGTTTCGACGCACGCTATTGACACGCTACAAACTGAAATACCAACATATATGATGAAAATATGAAGAAACAAGCTTTACTAGGGTTTTCTCAAAAAATTGACTTAACTCTATATTCATTGCCATAATCGTGAACGCGGAGAGTTATAAAAAATGATAACTCTCTAACATCTTCAAAATGTTAACGAGAGAGAGTTACGTCAAACATAACTCTCTCATGTTAGTTCAAGGAAACGTCGGGAGAGTTAAGAAATTGGGTGTGGTCGTTGGGGAAAGTGGGCGTGGTAAAATATCGCCAAAATAATTTTTCCGGAAAAAATTTTTTGGTGCTAGTCGGGCAGAATCCCGAAATTTTTTGGGCAATGTGGAATTTTTTGGACAAAAAAGCTACCGCCCCCCCAGAATTTAGCGGCCCCGTACGCCTATGACTCTCCTGTTGGTAACTCTCCCTTTGGTCATACCCAACTATAACTATACCCTATGGCCATGTCGTTCAGTGCCAGTATTGACGACCGTTCAAGTACGACGAAAACGTAAAGCAATCGTATCAACTAAACTCAGAAACACAATAAATGCATCCTATTAACAAGTTAGATATATTTTTTACATATACCGCTAATATTTTTTGAATTATTTCGTTATTAAATATTATAACGGTTAAATATTCAAAATGTATAGGACATTCAGAGATTGGGCCGCTTGTGGATGACCAGTAATCTTTATAAATAGCACGAACGCATCAGCACTCCCATCAGGGAACCAAGGGACAACGGGGACATGTGCCGCACACTTTCTGTAAAAGTGAGAAAAGTGCCCTTTTCTCTGGGCGAAAAAAAGTATTTCTTGAATGAATGAACGCCCTCTTTTGCTGGAAAGAAAGTGCCCTTTTTGCAGTAGTAAAGACTGTAAAGGCCATTTCCGACGTTATAGAGACTCCATATAGTTTCAAAAAATTTTGGTTAAATATTCAAAATTCAAAGGACATTCAGAGATTGGGCAGCCCACTGGATCATCTTACACTTTCGACCAGAGACTTTCGACAGTGTGACCAGATTTGGTAAAAAGTTTTACTTTTGGTAAAATCTCGTGAATTTTCAAGAAAATCTGGTAATAAGTTTTTTTGGTAAAATTTTGGTAAAATCTGAAAGTTTTAATTATTAATAGAGGGCCCCCTATACTTTTTGCGTGAAGCGTGAAGGGCTTATTTTACTTAGCCGTGAAACGTGATCGATGATTTTCTTAATCCGTGACTCGTGAAAAGGCAAAATATTTTTACGTGAAAGCATATTGTGAAGAGGTATAGGGGGCCCTCTTAATAATCATTTTGGTAAAAATGTGTGTTTCTTGTTTAATAACGTGCTCAAAGTGATAAACAGAACTGCCAAGCCTAAGAAATAAATCTTATCATTAGCAAAAACTGCAATACGATCAAAGCAACAAGTATTTCGCCTTTTTGAGCATATTTTTTCTACTTTGATGACGTAACTATTGTTTTTTGCCGTTATTATGACGTAATTATTTGGAAAGCCGACATAATTAGTAAAATTTGAACAAAACTGAAACTGATTAACTGAACTGAAAAATCTGAACTGAAAAATCTGAACTGAAACTGAACTGAAAAGTCTGGTCACGGGTCACACTGACTTTCGATTTCTACATAGAGTATTAAATGGAACAACCGATTGGCAGTGTCATTTATATGTAAATCTGTGTTACTTTGTACTAATTTAGTAAAAACTAACAGGGATTTTTCAAACCACTGTAGATTCGCTGGGGTCCAGGGTGCATTCCGTGTAAACTTCACGCCGAAGATAATCTGAGGTAGTGTTGCCGTGCGCCAATTGAGGTCAACTTGTGCGCCGGCTGATCGTGGGCACCGTGATTTTTCATTAATAGTTAGTTTTTCAAAATTAAAACTTGCTAAAAAGGCGTGTAATTGATGAATAAGATGTTTTGCTGATGAGCAATGATGAGTGTTGTTACTATTGTTCAGTATCACAAGTTATATACCCACCATTTAGTAATATTACACTGACCAGGAAGGCAGGAACACAAGTTTATCGAGTCCCTAAAGAATTATAGGGGCCAATCCAATCACCAGGCGA